AAAGTTACAGTGTGATGTTGCCCACCTGGTTTTTCTACATACAGCTGGACATTAAAGACCGCTCCGCGTTGACCCCACGGGCACGTGCCAGATGGTCCAGTGGAGAAGATGCCCAGGATTGCCGCTGCCGGTGAACCTGGGAACGCAGAAGCGACAGCACCAGACATCAGATGACAGTGGCTCCAGCTGGAAACAGATTTGAGACTTGAGATGAGAATCTTCATTGGAGTTTTTTTGTATATGATCTTGATCTTCCAAACCACGTTTACAAAATGAAACTGAATGCAGAATATATGGTGACAGGGGCCGAATCGATGGCTAATACGGGTATCTCAGATATTTCTAAAACCTGTTCGGGTTCTGTTTTTTATGCATGTGCAGGTATCACTAAGTTTAGTTCTGTAGGAGCAGTTTGCACAGGGAGGTGTGTTTTATTAATTACTGACATTATTGAGAATTGATAGTGATAATAAAAAGAATGATTTAGGTCAGTTTAATTATTAATTAATAAGTTCTCTACATACAATAACCACTTTATTGCCTGTACTCAGTGGGTGGATGCTCTCCACTGCCTGTCCCCCACAAAATGTTCCCTTAAAATCCCTTCCAGATATTTAAGAGTTTTATGGCATGACCCAATTGCTATAAAAATTTTAGCTTAAAGGAAAATCTATATTATGAAGTAACTATTTCTGTAAGGAGACATTTTAAGCAAGAGAGCTTGGAAAATCTAAATATCTACACCTGGGCCGGGCGTGGTGGTGGCTCACGCCTGTAATCCTAGCACTCTGGGAGGCCGAGGCAGGCGGATTGTTTGAGCTCAGGAGTTCGAGACCAGCCTGAGCAAGAGTGAGACCCCCGTCTCTACTAAAAATAGAAAGAAATTAATTGGACAACTAAAAATATATAGAAAAAATTAGCCGGGCATGGTGGTGCATGCCTGTAGTCCCAGCTACTCGGGAGGCTGAGGCAGGAGGATCGCTTGAGCCCAGGAGTTTGAGGTTGCTGTGAACTAGGCTGACGCCATGGCACTCTATCCTGGGCAACAGAGTGAAATTCTGTCTCAAAAATAAATAAATAAATAAATATCTACACCTGGGTAAGCACGAGCCATCTGTGTTTCCTTTTCTCTATGCGAGAGTGTTGATAAATGTGCCGAATCATCACTTACTTGCCAATAGACCTAGTGAAACAGGAAGTATTTTAAAAACAACACTGAACTGGGGGTCAGGATGCTATTGTCTCCTGAACCCATGACTAGAATTCCCTTGTACTCTGACTCCTTTGGTTAACTAAATGCACTATGCTATCCCTTATTTTGGCCTTCCTGGGACACTATTTTGTGACTTCCTGGTCTATGTGACTTCTGCTCATCCTTCCCAGGTCAGCTCACACCTTATCTCCTCTGGGAGTTGCTCCCAAACCTGGATTTTTACACTGTGCAGCTTGAACATGTCTTTCTTACATTACTTATTAAGCTGTGTGATAATTTTCTGCTTGTTGGACAAGCTGGAGTACAGGTATTATGTTCTGTTCACTTTTATATCCCAGCGCCAAGCACATGACTGGCATATGGTTAGTATTCTAAACATTTGTGGATTGGAGAATGCTAGCCTCTCTGGTCCTTACTTTCCTTTTCTGTTAAATGGGGTTTAGTTTCCTCATCTGTGAAACGGGGTTGGGTTTGCTGATGTCTAGGGAGACTTCCAGTAACAGAATTTATTATACTACTTTTTTTTAATATAAAAGGATTGACTTATTGTAGTTCAGATACATAAACTGAACATTCAAACATCTGAATATTAAAACTTAGTAACAGAAGTTTAATGTTCAAACAGAAGTATAGTTTTCAGGGAACACCCAGAAAAGTAATTTGTTGTCTAATCCAGAATACTGATAAAGATCACTTCATGATGTATAAAATGTTTCACCAGCAGTTCTATTCTGGCCAAGATGGGTCCCAGAAGTCCCTTCTCTCTTGGCCACCTCCCTCTGCCCATCCCTCCCCCCAGGGTCTAGGCTTCCTTCTTCCATCACCTGCAAGATCAAGGCCAGAGAGACATTCCCTGGCTCCATGGCAAACAATCACAGCGTCTTCACTATCTGTGGGACTAGGATTGGGCCTCTCAGTTTCCTCAGAGCAGAGCATCGGGAAGCTGAACAGGCAATACGGATGCTAGCAAAGCTTCATGTATTCAATCAGTCACTTACTGAGCTCTGAGTGCCAAGCATCGAGGATACAATGATAAAATGATGATAATTAAAGGCATTGTGCTAAGCCTTTATAAGAATTGGTCTTTTACTTCTCACAACAACCCCACCGGGTAGGTACTATTATTAATTCTGATTTTACAAATGAGGAAACCAAGGCACAGAGAGGCTGAGTAACTTGTCTAAGGGCATGTAGCTAACAAGGGATAGAACCAAGCTTTGGACTCAGGTAGCCTGGCTCCAGAGCCTACTCCTTTAACCACTAACTAAACTAAACCAGTGATTGCCTTCTAGTGGGGACAAATAATAGAGAAGTAAACAAATAAAAAAAGATACTTTCAGTTAGTGATAACTGAATGCTATGAAGAAAGTAAAAGAAAATCAGGTTAATGGGATAAAGGATAATTAGAGGTATGTGTGGTATTTTGGACAGGAATGTGCACTGACATGCTAAAGACCTGCCTCTGCCATTGCACAGAACTTCCAGAAAGTGCAGGTCACATGTAGTTCTCTGTGTCCTCAACACTGGGCCTGGGCCAAAGCAGGCACCACTAACTATTCGGGAAGGGAGGTTGGAAGGGGAGGAGGATTCCCTGACAGGTGCCTCCACATACAGAGTGGCCAGACCTTTGCCAGTGTCTGGCTAGCTGTGTTAATTCAGAACAAGCCCTGGAATTGGGGCTCGGTTTTCCTTCTTTGAAGAATGGGTTAAAAACAGTACACCATGTGCCTGGCTCTAGGCTAAGCCCTTCCACGCATGGGGTGCTGTCATCGCCCTCCCTTTTCAGATGAGCAAACCGAAACTGAAGTGTGCCCAAGGTCTCCCAGCTAGTCACCATGGCGGCCTGGTGGCAAGGCCAGCACTGCCCCCTAGCGGGAATCTTGGGAATTTGTGGGAGTGATTACAGTTGTCACAATAACGGGAGGTACAGAAAAGGTCCGGACAATCCCACACAGTAAAGTACAATCCCACATTCTGCACAACATTTGACGGTCCCGATATACATTCATGAAGGTAAAAAGGTTATTTATAATTACCCAAGCCTAGAACCTAACCACATCATAGGTCATGAGAGAGGAATTATTTTGCTACGCTCGGTGATAAAGCCCATCACTATCCAAGAACACCTATCTCCTCATTTTCTTCACTTTAATTTGTCTTGATGTATTATCTCTGTTTCAATTAAGATTGTTTTCTCCTTTTCTTATCGTCTGGTTTGTTATTATCATACCAATTCTGTTTTTATTCATGTGTCCTTCTGTCTTCACTTTCATTTCACAAATCACACAAATCACCCAAATCTGGAAAACAAAAGCTAAATTTAATTCTGGTTCAGGCAAGGGAGTAACACAAGCAGAAGTGTAGCTTCTTGTTCAACAAAGGATGAGACTGGGTTGTTACAGGGTTTGGGGGAAGGATGGAGTTTAGGGAGCATTGAGGTGGAAGGGTTTCACTGGGTTCACAACAAAGCGGGGTGTGAGTAGAAAATTAACATCTGTCCTGGGCTGAGAAGACAGTCCTGTTTTGTTGGAAACTAGAGTTAAAAAAAGAAGTGGAAAGTTTTGTCTGCCTATCTCCCTGTCCCAAGATAGCAGAGCAGATAAACTGAGTGGGCAACCAAAGGTGTGACCTCTCTAGGCCAATGTGACTCACTAGTTCAGATCCATCAGATGAGAGTGGAATGTTCCATCTTCATGGTTTTCTTTTCTGAACTTAAAATTCATACTAATTCCAGCCAGACGTGGTGGTGTACCTGCAGTCCCAGCTACTCGGGAGGCTGAGGCAGAAGGATGGCTTGAGCCTGGGAGTTTGAGGTTGCAGTGAACTATGATGATGCCACTGCACTAAAGCCTGGGCAACATAATGAGACCCTGTCTCAAAAAAAAAAAAAATTATACCAATTCCTTTCAAGCCAGCAATGGCATGTTGAAGAAAACAAAATCATACAAATCCCTATTAAATTCACACTTAACCTTAAATTCTTACTAACTCATATTAAGTAGGTACAAACATCTGCTTACCTCATTATGTCGTCTACTTCAGTATATCCATGTTTTGAAATGCATATTGTTTTATCATAAATTAATGTCCTTTTCTGTCTCCTTTGTGTTACAGTGAGGACACTATGTTGAGTTTTTTGGAAACTACGTGATGAGTCCTGGTGCAGTGCTTACTCTGTACCAGGCACCGTGGCGAGTGCCTTTACACGTATTGGCTCATTTGATTCTCTCCCCAACTCTAGGAGGCAGATTGTTATTATCATCCGAGGCACAGAGAGGTGAAGTGACTTGTCTAAGGTCACAGGAAGTAGGATCAGGGTTTGCACCTGGGGCATCTGGCTCCACCGTCTGCACTCTCAGCCACTCTGCAGCCTCCTTCTCTGGGACCCCATTCCAAAGGGGCATTGGGTGTGACAGGGCAGAAACCAATGATCCGGCACATAGCAGTCCCCGCCCCCTCCTTTGTCAGGCCCTGAATCTGAGCCAGAATTGGGATGGGGAGATCACCTGTGTGGTTATGACCCCAGGCCTAGGAGGGGCATGTGACCTGCTGGCCATGATCCCAAGGACTGCTTATACCTGGACCCTGCCTGCCTCTTCACTCCTCCTGAAAGGGGCGGGGATCTCTGTGGAAAAACACCCAGCTGGGCGAGGAAGGAGGTGAGGGGGGCTGGGACTCACAGGACCGACTCTCTTCCCCTCTCATGACTGGTGTTTACTGGGCTGGGTTCTGGGCAAGGGCCAGATTGCATCAGACAGAGCCTGATGGGCTGAAGCCAGACTGTGGTCTGAGGAGGAGCCTTATAAATTGGGGCGAGTGGAGTGGGAGAGGAGAGCCACTTGGTCAGGAAACCAGACACAAAGCTTTGGAAGACGATGAGAAACAACGAGAGCAAGCAGGACATGATGGCCAGCTTCCCTCGAGCAGCCAGCCCCTCCCAGCAGCCAACAGGTCCCGAGGACGAGGACCCGAGCCTGGATGAGTACGACCTCTACAGCCTGGCCCACTCTTACCTGGGTAAGCCACTCTGTCCCCTTCCTGGTCCTTCCACTGCCCATCTCCTCTGGGCCTTCTCGCCACACCCTGTCCTCTTCTGGCCAGCTTGTTCCCTTGACCCCTCAGGTCACCCCCTTCTAATAACCTTACACACAGTGGGGTCCCTCATTCCACAGATGGGGAAACAGCTGGTCCGCTGTGACTGCCCCAAAGCTCCATGGTGGCCTGCCTCCCCACCCGCCCCCAGTCTCCCACTCTTTCCACCCCTGAAGCCCTGACCACCTGCCTCTTCTCTGAGGCCTCTGCCCACTTCATCTCTGACTCTTGCCCTGCTTATAGGAGGCGGAGGCCGGAAAGGTCGCACCAAGAAAGAAGCTGCCACCAACACCAACCGCCCCAGCCCTGGTGGGCACGAGAGGAAGCTGGTGACCAAGCTCCAGAATTCGGAGAGGAAAAAGCGAGGGGCACGGCGCTGAGATGGAGCTGGAGGTAAGAAGTCAGGGGGCCCAGAGAGCCTACAAGGGGCCTCTGCCTTGAAAGGACAGGCCTGAGTGTGTGTGTTTGGGCGGGAGGAGGGAGGGATCAGGGAACTGCTGCCTCAACGTAGAATAAAATGAGACACACATTTGGCTCTGAGTTTCCTAGTGACCAGAGCAAAGGGGGAAAACACTGAATCTTTCCAATTGGACAGAAATTTGGTTTACAGACAGAAACTGAAGCCAGAGAGGGTCAGGCCAAGGATTTCCCCTGTATTAATTTATTTTATCCTTACAGCAACCTTCGGAGGCAGTTTCTAATATGATCCCATTTTAAAGAGGCAGAAACTGAGGCACGAGAACATTAAATAATTCTCACAACCTCACGAGATGGAACAGGGACCCCTTTTAGGGACCTGCCAGGCCCCTCACAGAGCAAGTGGGCAGGAGAGGCAGAATTAGAACCCAGGTCTCTGTCCCTTTCACCACCTGCTTTCCCTCCCTCTAGATGAGGCCAGACCACGGACACCACACCCAGCAATGGAGACAGGACTATGGAGGAATGAGGCCCTGGGGACAGGATCCAGGCCTGCTTTCCCCACCCCCCACCCCCAGGACTTACCCCACCTGACTGAGTCGCCGAGGGGCTGCCAACGGAGCCCTGCCAACCCCAGCAAAAAGACAAGATGAAGAGCAAAAGGCAGGGAACAGAGAGGTGAGGGCAGGAAGGCACCAAGGAAAAGAAAGCCACTGAGGAAACCGGAACTCTCCGACAGTGGCTGCCACAATAAACAAAGTACAGCAGCTGCAGCTTATGTGTGTGTTTTTATCTCTACTCTTTGTGTGTTTTTGTTTGGGCACATTTCTGCCTGCAAGTGCCTTCATTTGCATGAACCAGTGAGAACATTTTTGGTGTGTATTTGTATTTGGCGTATGTATTTGGGGCAGGGAGTGTTCCTGTTTTTGTAAGGGCTTAGGCTGTGAGCCTGTTGTTTGGTTTGTTTTTTTGTTTTGTATGTTTTATATTTTGGTGCATACATTTCTGTGGTCTCTTGTGGGGTGCAAAGGAATTTTCTTTGTTTCTTTGCAGTGTTGCCCATGAAACCCCATGATTATGTCCTGTTCATATAAAACCACCAAAATGCCTTTTTTTAAGACATGGGGTCTTGCTCTGTCACCCAGGCTGAATACAGTGGCTCAATCATAGCTCGCTGCAGCCTTGAACTCTTGGGCTCAAGCAATCCTCCTGCTTCAGCCTCCCAAGTAGCTGGGACTACAAGCATGCATCACTAGGCCCAGCCAATTTTTATTATTTTTTGTAGAGACAAGGGTCTCACTATGTTGCCCAGGCTGGTCTTGAACTCCGGACCTTAAGTGATCCTCCCATCTCAGCTTCCCATCTCAACCCGAAGTGCTAGGATTACAGACATGAGCCACTATGTCCGGCCTAAAGTCACATTTTGAAGAGAATGTTATTTATTGGTGCAAGATGTAGAAAACAGAGATTTAAAATATTAAATGTCCTAAGTTACTCAGGGCTCATATTCAAGGATTCTTATTGTCCTTAGGTATGAGGAGGGTCCCCAGGCCAAGGTGGCCGCCAGGATTGGGGGTTCTGGGAGGTCAGCTGGGGGAGGAAGGTTCTTATCCAGTGTTATCAGTCTCAGGACCAGAGTTCGAGAAGAATGTAGGGCAAATAAAAAGTGTGGTTGGAGCTAAGAAGATGTATTGATTGAAATACAGGTTTGGGCTGCTGTAATGGAGAATCAAATAAAACAGGATGGAAAGTTATTTCTCTCCCACTTAACAGCTCCAAGGGTAAGTACTCCTGAGCTCAAATGGCAATTCCATTGCACTGGGGAGTCCAGCTACTTTTAGCTCATTGGCCACACTCAAAACATGGCTTTCACTTTCAGGTGCAAAATAGCTTCCCCAATGCCTGCCATCACACCTGCATCTCAGCCTGTGGAATAGGAGGGGGAAAGAGACCCGGGGGAGGCCATGCCTATTCATTTTTAAGGGCAAAACCTAAAAGCATAACACATCACATCTGCTCGGAATTTAGTCATGGCCACACCCAAATACCAGAGAGGGTGGAAAATGTAGTATTTAACTGCTTAGCCACGTGGGAGCCAAAACTTGCGCGAGGGCAGGGTTTTGTTATTAAAGGAAGCAGGAGAGAGTGAATACTGGAAGAACCAAGCAAGAAACATTGTCCACATGCAGACTCAACAGAAGTGGGGGCAGAAAACTGCTGGGTCTGGCTCTGGACAGAGCCTTTTTCCTTTTCTCCTGTCCCTTCTATCTAAGCCCTAGGCTGCAGAAGTTGAAACCGATGGTTGGTTCTTAAGGACCCAAGAATATCAACAGAGGACTGAGGCACCTGTCAGAGCAGTCACAGATGCACAGCAGACTATGGCCAGCTGGAACCCTTGGGGACCTCTATCCACCCACCTTCCCTGAGTCCAGCCTAATAACTGTCATGGAATCCATGACTGGCAAGGACATTAAAAGACCTCTGGCCCAACTCCACTCCACTCAACACTGCGATAACTTCTGCTAGCTTAAAATACTGCTAGGGATAGGGAACTTGCTACCTTTGAAGGTTGCCTAATTCCCTCTTGGGCAACTCCTTTACATGGGCTGAAATCTCTCTCCCACCTACCTGTGAGCAAGCTTCTGTCTTTCTGATCCTTTCTGTCCGAGACTACTTTAATCCCCCCATTTCATGAACCTCAGCTCAGCCCTCTCCTCTTTGAAGTCTTCCCTGACTTGCCTTTCTACTCACTGGCTCCTGACTTCCACCCCAGACCTCTTCTCCAGGAGCACGCGGCAAGCCTGGGCCCAGAATCTCATGGTCATCTCAGCAAATGGCTCATGCAGATTTCCCCTCCAATCCCTCTTTCTATACAATATTTATTAATCCAATAGATGTTTATTGGATGCCTACTGTATTACCAGGGCCTGGCTGAAGGCATGGACTGCAAGGAGGGACAAACGGGATCCTGGTATGATTGGATCCAGGTCTTAGGGCCACTATCAGCTCTAGAACCCAGGGAGCAAATGGCAGGATAAACACTGGGCAGAGGGCTCTCAGCCCAGCATAGAGCTGGGTGTTAGCTTTGGAAAATCATAGCAACAGCTCCCGGGTTTGGGCTCCTACTCTGTGACAGGTGTTTTATAGGCTTTGCTGTATTTATTTATTCCTTATAATAACCCAATAGGACACGCTATTATTGATCCCCCTTTTCAGACCAGAAAACCAAGGTTCAGAGAAGTTAAATAATTTCACATAGTAGGAGCTGGGATTATGAACTCAGGTCTGTCTGATTTTTAAGGCCTAGACTTTTTCCTTTTTACTATATGCATGAGAAGTGCCATGTACTGACAATGAGGAATCCTAGACTCTATTTAATTTCTTGTCAATTACTCCTCCGAGTCTCACTTGCCTCACCTGTCAAATGGCGAGACTGGCCTCTCTTCTGTTAAAAGACCAAACGAAGGCAGGGAAGTGCTGTGTCCCTAGCTGGTGTGGTCACTCCCTGCCTACTGGGTCCTTTGACACTGCAGGAGGCCCCACACAGCGCCCCCAACTCCTGGCCTCTGATTGGCTTTCCCCAGCCCTGTCCTTCCCTGGCACAACCTCTGCCTGGGATGCCCTGGAGTGGCTGTTCCAGGAACTGTTAAGACAATTCTTGGAATCACAGAACTTTTGGATCTGGAAGGATCCTGTCTAGAATCTCCTCTTCTATCTCCACCTCCTTTCTCTATACTCTTTCTTCTTCTTCTTCTCCTGGTTGCATGTAATGTCTGTTTCCCCAATTTGGGGGGATCCTCCTGAGAACTGAGAAATCGCTGACTTCTTGCTCCCCTCAGGGGCTTACACAAACATCCCCATCAGGTTTCCATAACTCAAAGGATTCCCAGTTCCTTGCAGAGAATTAAGGCACTCACTATGGGGCTGTCTGTTCTGCACATATCCTGAGTCTCCTCCCTCCCCTCTCTCAAAGGCCAGCTCTCAGACACATTATATATCATTTTAAATTTCAGAATCTCCCCAACTTGATTTTCAACTAGTACTCCCTAAGGTAATACTACTAATAGTAGCAGTCATTGCTGCCACCATTGGTGATCTGCCCTGGGGCTTTCCCCGCTTCGGCTTTCCCATAGCACTTCTGTGATGATTTCTGCTGCACGTGCATTCAAGCTATACCATTTTTACTATACTGTATTGACCTAGCTTTTCAAAAATTACCTCCCTACCTTTTTTACTCAAATGTATTTAAAATGGAAACCATTTTGTGAACACTGACATCAAAATGAACAAATAAATAAATAAAATGGAAACTACTGCCTATAACCACCCCGGATGGAAAACCATACTCACGTGTCACAATTGGAAATTAACTGCAAAAAGAAACACCTAACAATAACTTTTTTTTTCTTATTTCTTTTTTGTTTTATTACTTATTTCCATGTCCTATTCAGCTGAACATTAACTATAACTTTTTAAAAAAGTTTATCTGTGCACTACCTACGACGGTCTGGCGTACTAAGACTCACAAGTGCACACACTTGGGAAAACACCCATGTGATATTGTGATATGATGAGAACATTGTGAGAAATACATTTGTCCACATATTTAGTATCAGAGATAAAGGATTGAGTGCCCACTGCAGCCAACGAATAAGAAAAACAAACTCATTGTTTTTCTCTATATTGTCATACAACACTTCTGACACCAAATGTGTGGTTTTCCACTCCAAGCAATTCTCTAGTTCTCTGTGGATACCCACTGGGTGTCCTACAATTTAATTTGACGCTACTCGAGTAGACCCACGGGTTAGGGGCTCAGCGCCACAAGACTGCCTCCACTTCAGATGCCAACTGCAAACCCAGGCCTCTCGTACTTCTGACCCACCAGCTATAAATCTGAGGTTCCCATGACCCTCTCCTTGGGTTCAATAATTTGTTATAATGGCTCACAAAACTCAGGGAAATGTTTACTTATATTTATTGGTATAGTATAAAGGATAAAACTCAGGAACAGCCAAATGGAAGAGATACATAAGGCAAAGAATGTGGGGGTGGGGAGTGGGGGTGGGAGTGGGGACCATCCATGCCCTCTCCCAGCACCTCGATGTGCTCGTCAACTCCGAAGCCCTCGGAACCCCTTTGTTTAGGGTTTTTATGGAGGCTGCATTATATAGGTGCAATTGATTAAATCATTGGTCATTGGTGTAACCTCACCTCCAGCCCTTCTCCCCTCTCTGGAGGTCAAGGGCTGGGGCTGAAGCTTCCAACCCTCTGAGCACATGGTTGGCTCCTCTGGTGACAGCCTCATCCTCCTGGAGTCCCCTCATTAGTATAAACTCAGGTACGGTTGGTTGAAAGGGGATTGTTACGAATAGCAAAAGATGTTCTTTTACTATCACTCAGGAAATCCGAGGGTTTTAGGAGCTCCGTGCCAGGAATGGGAATGAAGACCAAATGCATATTTCTTATTATATCACAATTCCACAAGTTGTTTATGAGCAAGACTCTGTGCCAGGTGCTTTGCATTCCTGAGGGATGGCCTCATCGTACTCACTGGGAATTAAAGAAAATACTGATGCCTCACTCCCACTCCCAGGGAGTCTGGTTTAACTGGTCTGGGTTATGCCCCCGGCATTGGGACTTTGGAAAGCAATTCTTTTTTTTTTTTTTTTGAGACAGAGTCTCACTCTGTTGCCCAGGCTAGAGTGCCGTGGCGTCAGCCTAGCTCATAGCAA